GTTGGTATTCTTCTGTGACATTCTAATCTATAGTCCGGATGAGGGAAGCCATAAAAAACACCTCAAATTGGTGCGGGAAAATAATTTATTTGCAAATTCTAAGAAATGTAATTTTGGGCAGCAACAGTTGAGATATTTGGGACATTTGATTTCGGGAAAAGGAGTTTCGACAGACCCAGACAAGGTTAATGAAATGATAAATTGGCCAGTTCCGAAGGATTTAAAAGGGTTGAGAGGATTTTTAGGGCTCACGGGATATTATAGGCGTTTTGTTAAAAATTATGGCAAGATTGCTTGGCCACTCACACAGTTGCTCAAGAAGGACAATTTCAAGTGGGGAAATGATGCTCAACAGGCTTTCGAACAGCTCAAGGTTGCAATGCCCACTTTACCTGTCTTAGATGTTTCGGATTTTGAGAAACCTTTTGTAATAGAGACAAATGCTTCTGGAAAGGGAGTAGGAGCAATGCTTATGCAGGAAGGCAAACCCATAGATTACATGAGTCAATCATTGTCTGATAGAGCTCAACGTAAGTCTGTTTATGAGAGAGAATTAATTGCTATAGTGTTGGCTGTTCAGAAATGGAGGCATTACTTGATGGGCACCCATTTTGTGGTGCACACAGATCAGAAAAGTCTGAGATTTTTGGCTGACCAGAGGATTATGGGGGAGGAGCAACAAAAGTGGATTTCAAAATTAATGGGTTTTGACTTTGAGATAAGATACAAACCTGGTTGTGAAAATAGGGCAGCAGATGCCCTTTCTAGGAAGCTACAATATTCTGCACTTTCCACGGTACAATTCAATGAATGGGATGGGTTGGAAGATGAAATTCAAGCTAATGCTCGATTAAGGGGATCATCCAGGATTTATTGAAACAACATGATTCACATCCGGGGTTTCAATTAATAAAAGGAAGATTGTATCACAAAGGACGAATGGTAATAGCAAAGAATTCCTCTAAAATTCCTCTAATACTCAAGGAATTTAATGATTCAGCGTTGGGTGGGCATTCTGGATTTTTCAGAACATAATAAGAGAATTTCTGGATTAATATTTTGGGAAGGGATGAAGAAAGAAATACAACAGTATGTGTTGAGTTGTGCAGTTTGTCAACAAAATAAGTATCAAGCCTTGAACCAAGGCAACCTTTACCAATACCTACTCACACTTGGTCTGACATTTTGATGGATTTTATAGGAGGATTGCCTAAAACCCAAGGGGTTGACACCATTTTTGTGGTCGTGGACAGGTTAACAAAATATGCGCATTTCATAGCTATTGTCCATCCTTACACTACTAAGGACATTGCTGAAATTTTCATCAAAGATATTGTTAGGTTGCACGAGTTTCCTTCCTCAATTGTGTCTGACCGAGATAGAGTTTTTATCAGTCATTTTTGGACGGAACTATTTAAAATGGCTGGCACTAAGCTGAAATTCAGTTCTGCCACCTATCACCCTCAAACGGACGGGAAAACTGAAGTGGTGAATCGTTGCTTGGAGACTTACCTTCGGTGTCTCACAGGGACTAAGCCTAAACAGTGGCCTAAATGGCTTAGTTGGGCAGAGTTTTGGTACAACACTAACTATAACTCATCTACCAAAATGACTCCCTTTAAGGCTTTATATGGGAGAGAACCTCCAATATTAATTAGAGGAGATATGACATAGTCTTCGGTGGAGGAGGTCAATAGGTTGATGGCAGATAGGAATCATATGTTGGATGAGTTAAAAGAGCATTTAGTCCAGGCCCAAAACAGAATGTGCAAGCAAGCCAACAAGCATCGACGGGAGGTGGAATTTGAAGTTGGAGATGTAGTGTATTTGAAGATACAGCCTTATAAATTAAAGAGCTTGGCTAAAAAGGTCAATCAAAAGTTAAGTCCGAGATATTATAGGCCTTACGAAATTGTGGAGAAGTTTAGTCCTGCTGCCTATAAACTGCAACTACCTTTAGGAAGCAAAGTGCATCCATTTTTCCATGTTTTTGCACTTAAGAAATCCATTGCTGCAATAATTACTAGCCAACCATTACCCTTATTTTTAGTAGATGATTGGGAATTGAAGGTTCAACCAGCAGAAGCACTTGCTGTTAGAAGGAATCAACAAGGGGATCTCGAAATTGTTATTAGGTGGAAAGATTTACCAAATTTTGAAAATTCGTGGGAAGCTTTATCTATAATCAAGGAGCATTTTCCTGATTTCCACCTTGAGGACAAGGTGTATCTTGTGGAGGGGAGTGTTGCTAGGAACCTAGAAATAGTTAGGCCCAAACCCAAAATATCTAAGGTGTATGTTAGACAAAGAAGGAATGGCAAAGTAGGGGATCAAAATGGTCAGAGAGAGAATGAGAAGAATCTTTCCATATAATAAATTGCTGAGCTGGAATAGTAGGAAATGAGTAATTATGTTGTTTGGGGTATAAGGGGTGCAAAGAGAGTGGGGGGAAGGGGGGATGGGAATTGGGAGAGACTANATGTTTAATTTGGGTGAAACTGAGGTGGTATTAAGTATGGACTGGTTGGCGGATCTTGGTGACATTGAAGCTAATTTTCGAAACATGATCATTAAATGGGGAGATGAAGGAGGCAAGAAGGTGTTAAAGGGAGACCTTTCCCTAAGCAAGGCGCAAGCATCCTAGAAGAGCATGATTAAAGCCTTACAAGATGAAGGAGTAGGCTACTATATATCATATCAACAGTTGGAGGATACAAAGAAAAATCAACAACTGTTATCTGATGAGATCAAGGCTGTCCTAGAGGAGTATAAGGACATTTTTCAGGACCCACAAAGGCTACTGCCAAGGAGAAAGCATGATCATGCAATCAATCTCAAAGAAGGTGCTCAAATACCAAATATCAGACCTTATAGGTACCCCTATCATTAAAAGAATGAGATTGAAAAGATAGTAGGTGAGATGATGCATGCAGGGATTATTAAGACTAGTACTAGCCCTTACTCTAGTCTTGTTATTCTTGTAAGAAAAAAAGATGGTGGTTGGAGATTCTGCATGGATTATAGAGCACTTAATAAGTTGACTGTACCTGATAAATTTCCTATCCCTGTAATTGATGAATTATTGGATGAAGTAGGATCGGCTGTACTATTTTCCAAACTGGACTTAAAATCTGGTTACCACCAGATTCGAATGAGGGAAGAAGACATTCCTAAGATAGGTTTTAGGACACATGAAGAGCACTATGAATTCTTGGTCATGCCATTTTGGTTAACCAATGCTCATTCTACCTTTCAAGCTCCTATGACAGGGTCTTAAAACCATATCTAAGGAAGTTTGTGTTGGTATTCTTCTGTGACATTCTAATCTATAGTCCGGATGAGGGAAGCCATAAAAAACACCTCAAATTGGTGCGGGAAAATAATTTATTTGCAAATTCTCATAAATGTAATTTTGGGCAGTAATAGTTGAGATATTTGGGACATTTGATTTCGGGAAAAGGAGTTTCGACAGACCCAGACAAGGTTAATGAAATGATAAATTGGCCAGTTCCGAAGGATTTAAAAGGGTTGAGAGGATTCTTAGGGCTCACGGGATATTATAGGCGTTTTGTTAAAAATTATGGCAAGATTGCTTGGCCACTCACACAGTTGCTCAAGAAGGACAATTTCAAGTGGGGAAATGATGCTCAACAGGCTTTCGAACAGCTCAAGGTTGCAATGCCCACTTTACCTGTCTTAGATGTTTCGGATTTTGAGAAACCTTTTGTAATAGAGACAAATGCTTCTGGAAAGGGAGTAGGAGCAATGCTTATGCAGGAAGGCAAACCCATAGATTACATGAGTCAATCATTGTCTGATAGAGCTCAACGTAAGTCTGTTTATGAGAGAGAATTAATTGCTATAGTGTTGGCTGTTCAGAAATGGAGGCATTACTTGATGGGCACCCATTTTGTGGTGCACACAGATCAGAAAAGTCTGAGATTTTTGGCTGACCAGAGGATTATGGGGGAGGAGCAACAAAAGTGGATTTCAAAATTAATGGGTTTTGACTTTGAGATAAGATACAAACCTGGTTGTGAAAATAGGGCAGCAGATGCCCTTTCTAGGAAGCTACAATATTCTGCACTTTCCACGGTACAATTCAATGAATGGGATGGGTTGGAAGATGAAATTCAAGCTAATGCTCGATTAAGGGGATCATCCAGGATTTATTGAAACAACATGATTCACATCCGGGGTTTCAATTAATAAAAGGAAGATTGTATCACAAAGGACGAATGGTAATAGCAAAGAATTCCTCTAAAATTCCTCTAATACTCAAGGAATTTAATGATTCAGCGTTGGGTGGGCATTCTGGATTTTTCAGAACATAATAAGAGAATTTCTGGATTAATATTTTGGGAAGGGATGAAGAAAGAAATACAACAGTATGTGTTGAGTTGTGCAGTTTGTCAACAAAATAAGTATCAAGCCTTGAACCAAGGCAACCTTTACCAATACCTACTCACACTTGGTCTGACATTTTGATGGATTTTATAGGAGGATTGCCTAAAACCCAAGGGGTTGACACCATTTTTGTGGTCGTGGACAGGTTAACAAAATATGCGCATTTCATAGCTATTGTCCATCCTTACACTACTAAGGACATTGCTGAAATTTTCATCAAAGATATTGTTAGGTTGCACGAGTTTCCTTCCTCAATTGTGTCTGACCGAGATAGAGTTTTTATCAGTCATTTTTGGACGGAACTATTTAAAATGGCTGGCACTAAGCTGAAATTCAGTTCTGCCACCTATCACCCTCAAACGGACGGGAAAACTGAAGTGGTGAATCGTTGCTTGGAGACTTACCTTCGGTGTCTCACAGGGACTAAGCCTAAACAGTGGCCTAAATGGCTTAGTTGGGCAGAGTTTTGGTACAACACTAACTATAACTCATCTACCAAAATGACTCCCTTTAAGGCTTTATATGGGAGAGAACCTCCAATATTAATTAGAGGAGATATGACATAGTCTTCGGTGGAGGAGGTCAATAGGTTGATGGCAGATAGGAATCATATGTTGGATGAGTTAAAAGAGCATTTAGTCCAGGCCCAAAACAGAATGTGCAAGCAAGCCAACAAGCATCGACGGGAGGTGGAATTTGAAGTTGGAGATGTAGTGTATTTGAAGATACAGCCTTATAAATTAAAGAGCTTGGCTAAAAAGGTCAATCAAAAGTTAAGTCCGAGATATTATAGGCCTTACGAAATTGTGGAGAAGTTTAGTCCTGCTGCCTATAAACTGCAACTACCTTTAGGAAGCAAAGTGCATCCATTTTTCCATGTTTTTGCACTTAAGAAATCCATTGCTGCAATAATTACTAGCCAACCATTACCCTTATTTTTAGTAGATGATTGGGAATTGAAGGTTCAACCAGCAGAAGCACTTGCTGTTAGAAGGAATCAACAAGGGGATCTCGAAATTGTTATTAGGTGGAAAGATTTACCAAATTTTGAAAATTCGTGGGAAGCTTTATCTATAATCAAGGAGCATTTTCCTGATTTCCACCTTGAGGACAAGGTGTATCTTGTGGAGGGGAGTGTTGTTAGGAACCTTGAAATAGTTAGGCCCAAACCCAAAATATCTAAGGTGTATGTTAGACAAAGAAGGAATGGCAAAGTAGGGGATCAAAATGGTCAGAGAGAGAATGAGAAGAATCTTTCCATATAATAAATTGCTGAGCTGGAATAGTAGGAAATGAGTAATTATGTTGTTTGGGGTATAAGGGGTGCAAAGAGAGTGGGGGGAAGGGGGGATGGGAATTGGGAGAGACTAGACACTCTCTAACTGTCTAGAAATACCTTTTTTCTTGCTTTTACAGATCTGTATTCTCTTTCTGGGATATGCACTTTGTTTTTCTTTAATAATAAAGTGACTATTCAGCTATTTTGTGCTTCCTTATTTCTAGTATCTATCAGTAACCTTTTCGGCTGTTTAGTTGTGTAGAATGTGTGTATAATATGATATGCCATAAATATATATTAAATAAAAAAGTATAAGAATAAAAATAATTTACTCTCTTTAATATAAAATCAACTTTTGTCTTCTTCCTTTTTCACTAAATGGATGGATTGAAATTTTATGTGGTTGCACCAATTTTATTTGCTAATTTTGTAACGATGAAAGAAGGAAAAATTGTAAAGTTCCCATTATAATTTATATTAACACACATACAAAAATTATAAGATGCACAAACAGATAAGCTTAAAAAATAATATATTTCAAAACGATTATGAATAAAACAATGTAACATTTAAGATACCATGTTGTACCCTCCACATCTACCATCATTTAACCATGCGTCAAATCATGTTTTTTTAATTAGTGGGTGAACTTTTGAATAATTTTTTTTTTAAATGGATGGATTCTAAAATTATTATTTTTGACAAATAGTGTATGAGACAAACAACTTCTCTACAAGAAGTTGTCTCTTGTATACACAATTTCTTTGCATTTTCACAAGGTAAACTGAAGCCTTGCCAAGAGAAAACGATTTTGCATTTTATTTTTTTAACATAGAAGTTGTACACGACAAACAAGTTTAGTTAAGTATGTTTCATGAAAACAGCTCGATAAACTTTAAGCTTCTTCATGCTAAACTACATAATTGATGAAGAACGAGATTGATGGAAGCATAAGTGACTTGGATGAAGAATTAATAGTGTTTGTAGAGTGGATTAAAGTTGTTATTGAGAGAGTGATGAGTGCATATTTATGCCCACATTTATGCTTTAAAATTCAAATTTTTGATGGGATAATTGTACTTAAATGGTTGATTTTAATTGAACTTGTGATGATTGGAATTATTGGGTTTGGAAAATAAAGAGACGTAAAAAGTGAGTTTTAGCGTATAAATTATTCTTGGATGTTCTAATGTTTATTTGTGCAGCTGAGAATATAAGTTTTATTGGTCCAAATGGCAATTCAAGGCCCAAAATCAGATTTTATTTGAAAAATTCAGAAGGGGCTAAAGTGCAGATAAAAGAAATTTCAGGGCATTATTTGTGCAATTTTGGAAAGTCAAAAAAGCTAAAAGATAAAATTCAGTTGTTGAATTAATATAATTTCAGAATATCAACAGAAAATATCTTCCAAATAGTGTTATAATTATCTAAATCTTAGTTATTTGGAAGATATAAGATAAAAGATTTTGTCAACTGAATATTCAGAGTCCAAGCCGAATCAAGCCCTATATAAAGAGATCCAGGGGGAACTTCACTTCATTCATTCATTCACCACTTCTTTAAGTTATTTCATCTTGTATTCAACTCCATTCATGGAGAGCTAAGCATCTAGGGCTATTCTATTGTAATTCCATTATGGATTCTGAGGTTAGATTGAGTTAATGCAATTGTTTATTTTGATTATTGATTTAAGTTGTTCTCTCTCTATGTTTTTCATCTCTCTATCTTGTTAAAAGTAAAGATTTTTGCATCATGATGTGTTTGAATCTACATGCATATTTATTATATGAGTTCTAGGGTTTCTAGGTTTAATTGAGAATCTACTTTGATTTAATTTAGGAACTTTCATATGATTAAATGGTTTTTACTATCAATTGAGAATGTACTTTGGTTGGTAGTAATAATTTCAACTATAATTAATTGAGAATTTACTTTGATTGATTAACTTTTCACTTGGTTAAGAGATTTAAGAATAGACATGATTAAGCACAATAGAATTTGATTGAGAATGTACTTTGGTTGAATTTATTGTGAATAATCTAGAAAGGTTTTGCATTTGATTGAGAATTTACTTTGGTTAAATGCATGACCGCCCTCGAATTAATTAAGAATGTACTTTAATTAATTTGAAACTTAAACAATAATCAATTGAACAATTATCCGTGAATAACCGATGATGAATCTATCTTGGAAAAGCAGTGGAATTAGCCTATTT